CCATGGACGTGATCGTCTATGTGGCGAATGATTAATCCAGTTCGTATTTGGGTGATGGGGATCTCATTTATTCTTGTTGTTCTTGGATAAAGGAATATTCCATCCAAAAAATTCGGGATGATGGCGGATCTATTCCCATTAAGAATGGGATATTTCGAATCCAATTATCATATTTTGAGATCCATCGACATGGATTCCATCGAATGAATAAAACTCTCGGAAGATTTTTTATTCAATTAACATTTTTGAGCACATATTGCTCGGCTCGCATTAATATCGTAGAATAATTCTAAGAAAATGGTTTCTTTCTTCGAACGATTCCAAAGAAATGATTTTGGGGAGATTTATATTATCTCTTTTAATCATAATTGATAAAATCACGAATATGAATATTTTATTCAAGATCAAATCAAAAAAGATCGTTTTTCCAGAAAAAAAATGCAATTTTTATCATATGTATCAAAAATGAATTGATATCTCTAAATCCCAGATCGAATTACCTTTCTATCTGAATATTTCAAAAATGAATTAATAGCTCTAAATCCCAGATCGAATTATCTTTCTATCTGAATATTATCTTAAGAATTTGAGCCTCCTATTTAATTCAACCAAGTAAAATTTGATTCTTTAGAATCAACAATTAGAATCAATAGAATCACCAAGATCATCCTTATAAGAAAATACAAATTCGATATAAGAAGAAAAAGAGTTTTTTAAAATACTTTTCTCATATTGTAGAAATGAATTCTAAAAATATCTCATTCTCGATATAAATCAATTCATAAATGAAGAAGTACGTGTTTCCCAAAATTAATAATTGTAATCAATTTATCCATATATTATATCAATATAATTTCAATATTAAATCTTTCAATATAGTCAATCCCACGAGTATATAATCCACCCATCAAATATCAGAATCATAGAGAATTAAGAAAAATATATATAATTGATGCGAATTTGAATATTTTTGCTAAATTTATAAATTAATTTTTTGAAAAGATTAGAAATAAAATGAAAGGAATTTTATTTTTAAATAATATTTATGATACAAAATATTATATTATCGATTAAAAATGATCCATAATCAAGAATCGATCATAAAATGAGATCCTGAGCCCAATGAACAGAACAAAAAAATCTATTAATTTCAATTTCTTGAATAACATCTTATATTCGAAATGACATATCATGAGCGATAATAATGATTTCATAAATAGACCTTTTGCAAGAATATAGTGGCATCGTCCCATAGATAAGGCCTCCAAATCGCAAACAATAATTTAATATTTACGTCGATAAACAGAGAATATATTTGTTCGGGTGAACCTTTCATAAGTCTTCATCAAATCTTTGCCTGAGTGAAATCTTGAGCCTGGGACTTTTCCTCTGGCAGAAATCAGCGGCTGTACTGCTGACTGGCCCGATCGGCCACTCCCCAAAGAACAACCAACGCACAGCCCGTCGCTGATGATGCTGCAGGTTGCGGAAGTACTGATTTAATCATCGATGTGGTCGATTAAGACATCGATTCCCACCATGACCTTCAAGAACTCAAATTTTCCTTCTCCCTGGTCAGCTTTTCCTTAGTAGCCCAGTAACCATACTACAGTAAGGGTACCCTTTTTTTGAATTCGTCACTTTACAAGGGAACCTTAAACCAAAACAAGGGAAAAGGGGCACCACTGGGCTGCAAAGTTGCTGATTCCATACTTCCTCATGACCGCGTGCAGCTGCTCTAGTTGATGTACTCGGTCGCCTTTCCGCCACTGGTCCGGGATGTTCCATCTCGCAAAGCAGATCCCCACAGATTTGGGTGTGAATTTTCTCCTGAGTTGCTGAGTTCATAAGCTCCCCAAAGAAGTGTACACTTTCAGTTCTCTTAGGGGGTTAGAGTATCCCAAAGAAGTGTAAAGTGTACTCACTCAGCTGCTAAGCTTCCTGAGTGTCGGGGATCGTCCAAGATACTGCAGCTTGACGGTGATGGAATCCCAGCCAGATGCGTCCGAGTGATGGAAATGCACTGACCATTTCTTGTCGATGACGGATGCCAATCCGTGTGCCTCAAACACTCCCGAAAGTTTCCAGCCGTCGCAAACGCTCTCTTCGCAGTTTGGGCCTAGACCAAATCTTTATTTCTCCCTCTCTCTCTCTCTCTTTCTCTCTCTCTCTCTCTCTCTCCCTCTCTCTCTCTTTCTCTCTCTCTCTCTCTCTCTCTCTCCCTCTCTCTCTCTCTCTCTCTCCCTCTCATCTCTCTCACAGGAGGCAGCACATGTCTTACCAAGTCTCATACACATCCCGTGAAATCTCTGCATCACGAGGAGGGCGAACTCGGTACCAACTCTGGCAGATGCTCGCAATGGCCAGTCGCTCATACAGTTTCAAGTACGGGAAAACATTCCTCATGACCTGGACTCGAAGTTCCCCTTCGAACCTTCATAAGAAGATCATTTTGATTATTCCCTTGGGTTGTATAAAAACCCAAAAAAAGGAAATAGTTCGGGGGCTGTGGACTCTGTTAGTGGCAACCCAGCACAACCAGCGAACACGTGCGATTTCACAGTACCAGTAGCACACGTGCGATGGCTGGCGCTGGTGCTGCCGCTGTTCCGATCCGTACAATCCCTAAGGGTACAAGTACCTCATCATCATAGAATATCCGCGACTCAGGTTTTCGCGGTGTAGGCTTCAGGGTTTTAAACCCTAAACCGTAAACCCTAAAAACTAAACCCTAAACTTTAGGCTTTAGGGTTTAGGGTCCTTTGGATTTTACATCCTAAACCGTAAACCCTAAAAACTAAACTTTAGGCTTTAGGGTTGAGGGTCCTTTGGACCCTTAGAACCCTAAACCCTAAACCCTAAACCCAAAACCCTAAACCAATTGAGATCAGGCCTTCGCTGGATCTGGAGGAGGTGAGGCTGCAGGTGGAGCCGGGGTCTCTCCGACACCAGGCGCCTCTCCCATGTCTGGCGGTTGTTACGAGGGTTTAGGGTTTAGGGTTTAGGGTTTAGGGTTATAGGGTTTAGGGTTTAGGGTTTAGGGCTTCAGAGCCAGGTTGCTGTTGGAATGTTGGGTAAGGTCCAGGCACACCTAAACAGCCACCTAAAGCTGCGTCGACTCAACGGATTCACACGCGCGAACGCGCAGGTGCTAAAGGAACGTGCGACACAACCGAAAACAAGCTGCGTCTCGGCACAATTACCATCTACTACACGGAAAAGCATGCCGGAAGCAATCTTTAACATAATCATCCCAAAAACCCAACACCCCAAACCCCAAACCCGAAACCCTGAACCCTGCACCCTAAACCCTAAACCCTAAACCCTAAACCCTGAACCCTAAACCCTAAACCCTAAACCCTAAACCCCAAACCCTAAACCCTAAACCCTAAACCCTATCACTTTCGGGCTGCTGCTTCATCTCGAGCAGGAGCTGCACGGCTTTGGCCTTCACCTTCTTTTGCTGCTGCTGCTGCTGCTGCTGCTGCTGCTGCTGCTGCTGCTGCTGCTGCTGCTGCTTCCTTGGTGGGGCGGGTTTAGGGTTTAGGGTTTAGGGTTTAGGGTTTAGGGTTTAGGGTTTAGGGTTTAGGGTTTAGGGTTTAGGGTTTAGGGTTTAGGGTTTAGGGTTTAGGGTTTAGGGTTTAGGGTTTAGGGTTTAGGGCCAAAGAAAGGGTAAGGACCAAGCTTCTATTGCTGCTGCCACTGCTGCCACCGCCGCCACCGCCGCTTCGCCCGGTTCCATCTGGAAGAGAGCTTCGAAGCGCGGATATCTCAGCTTTCATCTCCGGAACTGTGAAGGTTTAGGGTTTAGGGTTTAGGGTTTAGGGTTTAGGGTTTAGGGTTTAGGGTTTAGGGTTTGGGGTTTAGGGTGTAGGGTTTAGGGTTTGGGGTTTAGGGTTTAGGGTTTAGGGTTTAGGGTTTAGGGTTTGGGTTTTGGGGTTTGGGGTTTTGGGGTTTGGGGGTTTTGGGGGTTTTGGGGTTTTGGGGTTTTGGGGTTTGGGGTTTAGGGAGCCCGTCCTGCGAATACCTCAAACCCTGCTGCATCATCAAGAAAAACCATATCTGCTGCACCTACCAGGGAACCAGCACCGCTCGAGGACGGGCAGCGATGCTTCAGCACCCACAGCCAAAATGGCGAACTGGCTTTCAGATTTTCAGGGGCGAAGGCCCGAATGTCTTTGGTTCCCTGTTGCAAGGAAATCTAATTCAGGAAAAAAAACTTGAGGCCCTACTATAGGGGCCTTATGAAATAGAAGAGGGTTTTGGGGGAAACCCAAAGCCTCCCTAAACCCTAAACCCGAAACCCGAAACCCAAAATCCTAAACCCCAAGTCTAGTGGAGGCCTATCCAAATCCTGGGACCACGGCCAACATCTGCACTATGCGCCACCCAGCCACTACCTTCCTGATGATTGTTACAATGAAGGAACCCGTTTAGGGTTTAGGGTTTGGGGTTTAGGGTTTAGGTCTCTCTTGCAGGACTGTTTCGGGGAATTCCGGGAAGCTCATACATAGGGCATCTGGGGGCCTGTCGCGCCTTGTTGGGTATGAGTTTGGTATCACCGGTTTAGGGTTTAGGGTTTAGGGTTTAGGGTTTAGGGTTTAGGGTTTAGAAGCCTCTACAAGCAAAGGAGCCCGACATCTCCGGACGACCAAGACTTTTCCATGAATGCGCACCTAGGAGCATCACTTCTCCAACGACACCCTGCGAGCTAAGACCGCGATTTCGAGCACCAAACCATGGGGCCAACGGCCGTTCTCGGTGACCAAGTTCAAGAACATCCGATGGGGGACCGAGATCCAGCAACCTTCTGCAGGATGAGCAAGTCCGGCAGCTCATATAGCCTGCAACCCAGACATCTCTGGAAGGTTTATAGGCCTTGCTCTGCATGCTCCTTCATCTGAGTCCAGTCACATTTCAACGGTGCCTTGTGGCTGTAGCAGCTGTTCAAGATGTTCAAGACGTTGTCAGCTTTTTACTTTTTGAAGTATCCGTCGCGCAGCCATCGGCAGAAAGACGCCGAAATAGAACTTCTTCAGGCGTTCGAGAAACTTGGTCCACCAAGCCTCATCGAAGTAAATGGTGTAGGTTTCTGCTGGGTCAATGAGCTTGCATCTGGTCACCGGCGTTTGGAAGGCACCTGTTGCAATGGCCATGGCACCTTGTACCTGATGCCAGGCCGGAGATCGCCTCCCCAAGAAGGTGCGGCAGCTTTTGATCTCAATCAGCTGAGGATTCGAGCCAGACATCACCAAACCATCGGGAGATGCTCCCAGCCACGGCAACGATGGATCCACCAACAGTCCAACCTGCTCGACTCCCTCGTGCGCGCGCTGGTACTTCGCGAAGACGCGATCTTCGAAGGCGAAGGAGCGATTGATCTTGTGGTTCATCCGCTCTTGGCCTCCTCAGCAGCCCAGTAACCATATCTTTAATAAGGGCACCCTTTTCGGGTTGGTTGCTACCCTAAACCCTAAACCCTGAACCCTAAACCCTAAACCCTAAACCCTAAACCCTAAACCCTAAACCCTAAACCCTAAACCCTAAACCCTAAACCCTAAACCCTAAACCCTAAACCAAAATGAAGCGAAAATGGGCACCAATGGGCTTCCAGCCTCTGTACCACCAATGGTTCAGCCACTCTGCCGCAAGCTTCCTAGTTCATGGTTGGGATAGTATCTAAAAACTCCCCAAGTCTATTCCTAATCGGGTTTTTGTACCCTGAAAAAATGTAGAATGTCACCTAAACTATGGCAAAGATTCTCGTGCTTCACAACACGGCGCACTGCACTGAAGCGTCCAGCTGTGATCCTCCAACGTCTGGCGGCCAACCAGGCGGGATTGTAGGTGCCATCCGCCAGTCGCTGTGGAAGCCTCAGGGTTTGTGTAGGGTGTAGGGTTTAGGGTTTAGGGTTTAGGGTTTAGGGCTTAGGGTTTAGGGTCTAGGGTCTAGGGTTTAGGGTTTCGGGTTTCGGGTTTAGGGTTTAGGGTTTAGGGTTGAGGGTTGAGGGTTTAGGGCTTAGGGCCGCAAAAGCGCGTTGTTCACAGCAAAACACCGGTAGCACCCTAAGCCCTAGCTAAACCCTAAGCAAGCAGCTCCCAGGCCCTGAAAACTCCGGACAAACACCCTAGAAATCCAAACCCCAAACCCCAAACCCCAAACCCCAAACCCCAAACCCCAAACCCCAAACCCCAAACCCTAAACCCTAAACCCTAAGCTCTAAACCCTAAACCCTAAACCCTAGAGAATGAAACAAAGCTGCTCATCAATCCTATGGGCCGCCGAAGCCGGGCAATCTCCTGCGAGGTAACCTCCAAGTTGTCCTTCGGTGTCCGGTATCTTTAGGGTTTAGGGGCTTAGGGGCTTAGGGGTTTAGGGGCTTATGGTTCAGAGTTTAGGGTTTAGGGGTCGAGGGGTTTAGGGGTTAAGGGGTTTAGGGGTTTAGGGTTCAGAGTTTAGGGTTTAGGGGTTTAAGGTTTGGGGTTTAGGGGTTTAAAACGTTTAGGGGTTTAGGGTTTTAGGGGTTTCGGGGTTTCGGGTGCGGGGTTTAGGCGGTTTAGGGTTACCGAAGGTTCACCTTTGGGACTGTATAGTAGGCATTTCGGGGGTTTACGAAAACCGGGGACCCCTAAAGCTAGACCCCCACCCCAAAAAAAAAATATTGGATTCCTGCCATACAATGCTCCAAAGAAGTCAAAGGTTGCCTATTGGGATCCCCCGTATCCTAACAGTCTTTTTATAGCGATTATAGTACCCCCAGCCCTCTATTATTTTCCCTAAGGGGGAACATCCTAAACTCTAGCCCTAAACCCTAAACCCTAAACCCTAAACCCTACACCCCTAAACACTAAACCCTAAACCCCAAAAAATGTTAAAGCTTACACACTCTACTACCCGAGTGTCTAAAATGGCGGCTTCGGCAGCGCGAGCGGCAGCTTGGCTGGCCAAGCCGGCATCAGAGGCCTGCAAGGTTTAGGGTTTAGGGTTTGGGGTTTGGGGTTTGGGGTTTAGGGTTTGGGGTTTGGGGCTTAGGGTTTGGGGTTTAGGGTTTGGGGTTTGGGGTTTAGGGTTGCGCCAGGCGTCAAGCGTATCTTTTCAGGCTTTGAGGGTATGGTACCCAAGAGAACGAAAAAAACCTCTGATAAGCCCAGGGGGCAAAGCCACGCACCGAAATTGCAAAAACCCCTCTGTGCGAAGCCCTCCATGCCGCGCCTGCGACGTGGCGAAATTCCTTACTTAAGCTCCAGTAACCAAGGGGGAAAAAAGGCTCAACCTTCTTATTCCTACTAAGTATATGGGATTTTACGAAAAGAGGGTTCTTATTCCTAAGTATATGGAAACCCAACAAGTTCAAAGTTCAAGTATTGGCTAAGTAAGATTCAGAAGGATTCCATCGGTCGTCCTCCTCTCCCAAGCTTGGTTCAAAGCCACCGGGCACATCGTTGCTGACACGCGGAGCGCGGACAGAAACACGGGAAGTAGATCCACCCGCATGAGGAGCGAATGTTGGGAAGTTCCCCTTCTGCTAACAGTGCTTGGTAGGGATTCTAATAGGGGGCACTATAATCCCTATTAAGGACTGTTAGTAGAGAAGGGGGAACATCCCAAGGCGAAGGGGACAACTTTGAGAGGCAGATCAGCGACTTGAGCCCAAGCTACGTGGCGGATGGGGTGCTCACTCGCGCTAGATCCTCCCAATGCCTGGGCACGATGAATGGACCCTAAACCCTAAACCCTAACCCCTAAACCCCCCCCCCCCCCCAACAAGGCTATAGCTTTACCACAGCGGCCTGCAAGATGATCGACCCATTGAGCTAGCAACATCACACCCTGAAACCTAAACCCTAATTAAACCCTAGACCCTAGACCCTAAACCCTAAATCCTAAACCCTCCCCTTCCTTTCCTCCCGCGTAGCCTGTCCACCAGTACGGCCGCTGAAAACCCTAAACCCTAAACCCCAAACCCTAAGCGGTTTAGGGTTTAGGGTTCAAAGCCTAAAGACTCAAAACCCTACCAGCCACCCAACAAACTTCCCCAAGTGCAGCTTTCCGGAATTTGCGTGCTCCGGCGACTCAGGCGTTTCTCCAGTGCTCTCATCACCCTTGGAAAACACCAGCATGGTGCGCTTGAAGTTGATGGTGTTGAACTCTTCCGGGCAGCTCTCCACAGTTTTCCGGATGCGCGTGGTCAGGGCCTCTTCCTGGGATGGCTTTCTCTCCCCCCAAACTAGGATGGCCCTTTGGGGTTTAGGGGGTTTAGGGTTTTAGGGGTTTTGGGTTTTAGGGGTTTAGGGCTATTTTCCTGGGACGGCCCTTATAACACCCTCTGCAACCAAATATTCCTGAATATGATCCTCTGAAAACCCAACAAGGGAAAAGACAAAATATCCCAAGGGCCTACCTAGAAGGCCTAAACCCCAAATCCCTAAACCCCTAAACCCCAATAAAAGCACTAAAACCCTGCAAACCCAATACGGGAAAATGCAAAATGTCCCAAGGGCCTAGCTTCGTACTTCAGGCCGAGGTCAGCAAAGCGCTTGATGACCCACGAGTTGTCTCTGCAATTCACGTGACCGGCACCGGGTTGACCAGGCACTGCCCAAGACAGCACCACGCCCTTGCGCGCCCCGTTCACGACGTTGAGCATGTAGGCCTTCGTAGCCCTAAACCCTACGGCCTGAACCCCAAGCCCCAAGCCCCAAGCCGCAAACCGTAAACCCTAAACCCTAAACCCAATCCCTAAACCCTAAACCCTAAACCCTAAACCCTAAACCGCTACCAAGAGGCTTCCTGAAATGATTCGGGAATGTGCTCCGCAACCTCCAGAGACAGTACGAGATCGGCCTTGGGAAGTGTAGGATCAAGCTTGCTCAAGTCAGCCTTGGCAGCCCAGGTTCAGGGTTTAGGGTTTAGGGTTTAGGGTTTAGGGTTTAGGGTTTAGGGTTTAGGGTTTAGGGTTTAGGGTTTACGGTTACGAAAATAGGGAACCCGAAAACAGACCCCCAACTAGTGTAGAATTCCCTTATAATATGGACCCCAACCAGGTACCCCTGATGTCGGAAATCCCTATATTACAATAAGGGCACCCTTTTGGTCACTTGTAAGGGAACATTGAACCAAGAAACCCTAAACCCTAAAATCTAAACCCCAAGCCCTAAACCCAAAACCCTAAAGCCTAAACCCTAAACCCTAAACCCCCAAGGGGTACCACTGGGCTACCAAGCAGCAACGGAGCACAAGTTGCGGGAGAAGACTTTGACGGCCGGGTTGCCATCAACGCACGACACCGACTCCAGGCCCTCCTTCCTCATGTACAGGGCCTCTGTGGGTCAGGGTTTAGGGTTTAGGGTTTAGGGTTTAGGGATTAGGGTTTGGGGTTTAGGGTTTGGGGTGTGGGGTTTAGGGTTTAGGGTTTAGGGTTTAGGGTTTAGGGATTAGGGTTTAGGGTTTGGGGTGTGGGGTTTAGGGTTTAGGGTTTGGGGTGTAGGGTTTAGGGTGAGGGTTTAGGGTTAGAGGGCTTTTAGGGTTCCAGGCTTTTAGGGTCGGATGGCCCTTAAAACCCTTTGACAAATGTTCCTGAATATGATCCTCTTAAATCCAATAAGAGAAAAGATAAAAAGTCCCAAGGGCCTACCTAGGAGTGTCTTAGGGTTTAATGGGGGTCGTAGGGTTTTAGGGTTAGAGGGGTTTAGGGTTTAAGGGCTGAACATCGTCATGTGCAAGGCCTCTTGAGGGAGTAGCTGACAAAAACAGCTCCAGTCGTTGACATGGGTTTAGAGGGCTTTGGGGGTTTAGGGGCAGAAGGGTTTAGGGGGTTTAGGGCAAGTTGCCAAAGCAAAGCAACCACAAAGGCGACCATGTATCCCTCCTATGGTATAGCATGTTTAGGGTTTAGGGTTTAGGGTTTAGGGTTTAGGGTTTAGGGTTTCGGGTGGCTTGAGTTCCTCCAATAGCAGCCCAGGTGCATACGCCCCCGTCCCGGCGCCGTAGTCAGCGAAAGACTCGCAGCCCCAGGTGCGCGCGAGGTCTCGGATGAACTCGCTGGCGCAAGTGTTGAGGCCCCCATTCTTGCGGGACAGGAGGTGCACTACGCTCGCGACTCCGGTCCAGGCCCCTGTCTCCGGATCCTTAGTTGCTGAGTTCACAAACCCCCCCCCCCCCCCCCAACAAAAAAAGTGTAGACTTCCAGTTCTATAGGGGAGTACCCTAAACCCTAAACCCTAAACCCTAAACCCTAAACCCTAAACCCTAAACCCTGAGAGTATCCCAAAAAGTGCAAAGTGTACTCACTCGGCTGCTAAGGGATCAAAGACCGGCTCTCGGAGTTGAAGGACCAGGAAGAGGCCTGCGAAGAGCCTTAGTTGCTGAGTTCATCAGCTTAGGGTTTAGGGTTTAGGGTTTAGGGTTTAGGGTTTAGGGTTTAGGGTTTAGGGTTTAGGGTTTAGGGTTTAGGGTTTAGGGTTTAGGGTTTAGGGTTTAGGATTCTAGTATCCCAAAAAATGTACAGTGTACTCGCTCAGCTACTAAGAAGCAGGATTGCCATGAAGCGACATCTGCCAGACAGCATTGCAGCGGCAGTCAAGCCATTGCATGCGTGTGAATAGACCTTGCCATCAAGCAAAAACCTTGCTCGGGCTCGAAAAAAGGGGGCCCTGGCAACAATAACCATGTAAGCCATGTAAGCTGCTGCTCATGCAGACCCCAGAAGACGTAGATGCTTATGCCTTGTTCCGGTGCTCGGCCTCTACACCCCTTCTCTTGTGAGGATATCCCGAACTCAGGCTGTGTTAGTGGCTAGGTCGGCTAAAAGTTCAACTAAGGTTCGGAGGTTGTTAGGGGTTGGTGCTCGGTGTAGAGTTTAGGATTTAGGGCTGCGGATTCCATAACCCACCCGACAGCGAGCTGCTTGGCTGATTGTGAATCGAAATTTTGCGGCACAGGAAAAGCAAGTACACTCGGGCCCTTCTCCCCAAACCCTGAACCCGAAATGACCTAAACCCAACCGGACATCTTCGTGAGGTCTTAGATCCGCACCCCCCAAACCGCCTCAACTAAAAACCCCTAATTCCTTTTCGTTTTAGGGTTTCTAAACCCTATTCCTCAACCCTTAAACCCTAAACCCCTAAACCCTCCACTCCTAGGGTTAAGGGTTTATACACCCTATTGCCCGGAACACTCAACCCCAAACCCTCAACTCCTAAACCCCGAAACCCTCAACCTGAAACCCCTAAACCTTAAACCCTAAACCCGAAACCCTAAACCCTAAAACCCTAAACCCTATACCCTAGACCCTTAAGCACCAGCAAAGACAGAGATTTTGACCAGACTTTCGCCCAAGAACCGCTCAAAAAACCAGCCCAAAGCCCGTCCCAAAGCTCCGGAGATGTACGCTCTAAACCTTAAACCCTAAACCCTAACCCTAAACCCTAAACCCTAAACCCTAAACCCTAAACCCCAGCACTCAGAACTTTTGCTCCCGCACCTGGTCGCACCGCGTGCGTGAGCCCCCGTAACCCGAAACCTTGGGCACCTAAGTCTTGGGGGAACTTAGGGTTTTATGGTTTAAGGTTTAGGTTTAGGGTTTAGGGTTTAGGGTTTACGGTTTAGGGTTTAGGGTGAAGGGTCAAACCCAAAACCCTAGAAACTTCCTGTAACCTTCCTTACCTGAAATCTGGAATGGGTTTACAGGAGGGTTTAAAGGTTTATCAGGTTTTTAGGGATCATAGATAGGGTTTATGGGGTTTATAGACGGGGTTTGTAGGGTTTTTCGGGCTTACCGGGTTTTTTTGGCAGACATTGCTCATAGGGTTTATGCTAGACCTTAAACCCCGACCAGCGTAACCAGCACTTGGGGTTTGGGGATGTGGGCCGCAAGCAACGACCCTCAGTATAGGTTTAGGGTTTGGGGTTTAGGGCTTAGGGCTTAGAAGGGCTTAGGGTTTGGGGTTTAGGGTTTCGGGCTTAGGGATCAGCCATCACATCAGATCATCCCGCTCGTCAGCTTCGTCATCGTCCTGGCGAGTCCCCTAGAAGCCTGAGGCCCTAAAAACCACAAAGCTCCCCAACCCTATCAACCCGAAACCCTGAACCCTAAACCCCAAGAAAGGCCGGTTCCTCGTAGGGGGTGAAGCCCTCAACCCCAAACCCCACACCCCAAACCCCAAACTCCACAACCCCAAACCCCAAACCCTAAACCCTAAACCCTGAACCCTGAACCCACAGGCCCAGAACCCGGCGTTCCTTACAGGGGGAAAAGGTCACCACCATGTCCCGACGACTTCCTTAATTTGGGCAGGTTGAGGGGTTTCGGGTTCAGGGCTCGGTGAGCCTGAACAAACGCCGGCAGCCCCGAACACCTTGAGGGGTGCAGGTCCAAGTCGCCACCCGCGTGGGTGTTGGGCTGTGTAGGGGGTGAGGGGGTAGGGAATTCAGGAGCCCAGGGGGTGAATTCAGAGGTTCTGGGTGTTTGGGTTTAGGGTTGATAGGGTTTAGGGTTTTTGGGTTTTGGGTGTTGGGTTTATAGGGTCTGTAGTCTGTAGGTTAATAGGGTTCGGGTCGGTGTTCATGGGGCTATGGGCTTTCAACCCTGCAAAGCCCGCAGGCAACCTGACTTGGCAAGTAGAACTTCTGCGACCGCAAGTGTACTGGTGCCTCGCAACGCGTCATGGCTAGCCATGCTGCACATGCTCAAGCATTGCAGTTTAGGGAATGGGGTTGAAGGCTTAGGGTTTTGAATTTGCTTGGGGTTTAGGGTTTAGGGTGTAGGGTTTTGAGTTTAGGGGCCCTTCCCCCAAACTTGCGTAGAACCAGGGCAAACTGTCTTTACTCCGAAGCCCCGGTTAAGGGTGTAGGGTTTTAAGTTTAGGGGCCCTTCCCCCAAACTTGCGTAGAACCAGGGCAAACTGTCTTTACTCCGAAGCCCCAAACCCCAAACCCCTCACCCTGGCAGCATAGGGGAAATGAAATGAACTGTCATCACTCTAAGGGTCGTTACATGGTCCCTTGGGAGGTTAGGGACCATACTCAGGGCCCATGAACAAGGGTAGGGTTTAGGGTTTAGGGTTCAGGGTTGAGGGTTGAGGGTTTAGGGTTTAGGGTTTAAGGTTTAGGGTTTAGGGTTTGGGTTTAGGGTTTAGGGTTTAGGGTTTAGGGTTTAGGGTTTAGGGTTTAGGGTTTAGGGTTTAGGGTTTAGGGTTTAGGGTTTAGGGTTATGGTTTAGGGTTTAGGGTTTAGGGTTTAGGGTTCAGGGTTCAGGGTTCAGGGTTTAGGGTTGAATCACCCAGGTTTCACCCCGCGTGGCTGTCCCGGTCTTCTCGCGCGTCCGGTGGGATGGCAGCCGCCAAGTCGGCCTAAACCCCAAACCCGAAACCCTAAACCCTAAACCCCAAACCCTAAAGCCTAAACCCCAAACCCGAAACCCTAAACCCTAAACCCCAAACCCTAAACCCTAAACCCTAAACCCTAAACCCTAGACCCCTAAGCACCGGGGGTCTGGAGCCGGGTCCCAGGGTTCAGGGCTGATGCCACGGGTAAGGGCCGCAGTGTTCTAGGAGGGTTTCAATTTCAGGGGCTTTATGCAGTCCCCAGATTCCTGTGAAAAGCCAGGGTTTAGGGTTTAGGGTTTAGGGTTTAGGGTTTAGGGTTTATCGTTTAGAGCGTTCATATCCGGAGCTTTGGGGCGGGCTTTGGGCGAAAGTCTGGTCAAAATCTCTCTTTGCTTTTGGGGAAAATTGTTGGGGTTGTGAACTATTTTGGTGTTGGTTATTGTGGCAGTTGTGTCGTCTTTTTGGGGGGTTTTGTGGAGGCTTGGGGGATGTTTACTGCTGCTCGGGGAAGATTGTGGCAGGTTACGTTTGGGTTGCTGGTTATTGTTGCATTTTTGTGGCGGTTAGCGCAAGATTGGGGCATGTTCTGTTTTTGATTTGATTGAGAGATTGGGGTAGCGCGGTCTCTTTTGAGCATTTTGCTGGACGTTTTGGGGCTTTTCTGCGCGCTTTCTTGGGAGGGTTTGACAGGGGCCATGTGGGGGAGTTCTTGTGGCAAACTCGGCGTTTGTCATGATTTGTGAAGCGGGCAGGTTTAGGGTTTAGGGTTTAGGGTTTAGGGTTTAGGGTTTAGGGTTTAGGGTTGGCTTACACATTCGGGTAAAGGGTTCTAGGGGCTCAGGAACCCCCCCTAAACCCCGCAACCTGGGCTTTTCAGCATCAGCCTGCGGGCGCGCCGAAAAAGAAACCACCAACATCCCTGAACCCTCTGAATATCCCAGAACTTTTTTTTTTTCTGGTTGTCCCCACGACACATCCCTAAAGCCGACGCACCACCTGTCTATGAAAGGGTTTAGGGTTTAGGGTTTAGGGTTTGGGGTTTAGGGTTCAGGGTTCAGGGTTTGGGGGTAGAGCCTAAACCCTCAACAAACAGCAGCAACTAAAAAGGGGACGCCCCACGAAGAACCAAGCCAAAAAAAAATATGGGGTCAGGGGTTTGGGGTTTGGGGTTTTGGTTTGGGGTTTAGGGTTGATATAGGGTTTAAGGGGATACAGGTTACCTCATCCAGTAAAAAAAACCCGAAGCGGACTCCGGGCCTGGATTCGCTTGCGCTTCTCGCGCACGCTCCTTGGAGGTTTAGGGTTTAGAGTTTAGGGTTTAGAGTTTAGGGTTTAGAGTTTAGGGTTTAGGGTTAAGGGTTTAGGGTTTGGAGTTTATGGTTTGTAAGCTTGGGGTTGAGGGTTTAGGGATTAGGGTTCAGGGTTTAATCCCCTCCCCCTAATGTTGATGAAAACCTCCTGCCCCCAAGTATTAGATCCCCCCCCCGTATATTGTAACATAACCATCACGGGAGTATTATTAGGGGGCAGGGGGGGGGGGGGGGGGGGTTCAATGTTAGGGGGAGGGGTGTACTAGGGCTACAAGGTTTATTGAGGGTTTAAGGAAAGGGTTCCGGGTTTGGCTTTAGGGCTTTAGGTCTTTTTGGAATGAAGCGCTGTACCTTTCCGCAACAAATAGGGCTAAGGGCTTGGGGCTAAGTTTAAGGTGTGAGCCCTCAACCCTAGCGAACACTGAACTGGAACCCTAAACCCTACTCCCTAAACCCTAAACCCTACCTTTGGAACCCAAAACCTACTTTTTTGTAGGTTTCCTAAGAATCCTATAAGGGGTTTTATCGTAGTAACCTACAAAAAAGGAAGGTTTTGGGTTCTTCAGGTAATCCCTAAGCGCCTGAAATCTCTAAGCCCCCCCCCCCCCCCACCCGCTCACCCGACTCCGGACTTCGGGGGCTGAAGCTCTGGCTTAGGGCTTAGGGCTTAGGGCTTAGGGCTTAGGGCTTAGGGCTTAGGGCTTAGGGCTTAGGGCTTAGGGCTTAGGGCTTAGGGCTTAGGGCTTAGGGCTTAGGGCTTAGGGCTTAGGGAAAAAAGGGCTGGAGGAGAACCCTCAACGTTCAACCTGATGCCTTAGGCTGACTTTCATTCATGCCAAGCGTCTGAAGTGAGTTGTCCCGATACAGGAGCATGCCCACGAAAAGCGCGGCCAACTGCAGCCATTCTT